CGTCATTTTCCCAGATTTTTCTGACTCATTTAATGGCCCAGAAATCCGGGTTGTTCGCGTTTCCTTCGACCTTCGAGCAGATAGATCGATAGAGATAGTTCTCGATTTCACGCCTGTCGATTTTGAAAGTATTCCGGCGACAAGCCACCCTTGATCTAAAATTATCCGCTTAATTTAAAGTATGAAATATAGATAACGAAAGTAATCTAAGCCTAACATTATTCTATAATTTGCACATCCTCTTCGGTGCTTCCATCTCAAACTGACATTTCATGTCAAATTGACGGTCGAACAGCCGACCTGTTCGACGAGCAAATAACTCGGTTCGCTCGGGATCGTTTTTATAATATTATTTATGAATTTGTTCGACGTAAGACAGATTTTTCAAACCCGTTGGAGTTTCTTTAAATCCGAATAAAACCCGTGAGAATTTGAATGAATCGTCTGAAAGCAAACGGTCAAATAACAATATCTAATTTAATATAATTCGTATTATGTTACTTAAACATGTCATTCAGTCTAAATGTTATCCAATCGTCCGAACGTTAATCGACAGAGACGCGAACTCGAAGATCGCTGGAATGCCGAATTCTCAGAGAACGTCGCGACAGCGTCTATGAATCGTGCAAAACAATCGTGTCCCGGTATTTCTCCTCCTTTTTTTAGCTCCGCGTCCTCAAAATCTGTTTTGCCTAACTGCTTTTTTGCCCAACATTCCTCGGCAATTCTCGTTGTTTCGCGTAACAGGCACGCTTAATTATCGAAATACGTGGAAGAAAAATCGCCGCAGCGGTTCAAAGAGCGAGCGTAAAACGAGAAGCGAGAGCCCGGAAAATCCACCGAGATGACTTTTTAATCCTACTTGAAGCTCTCTCGATTAACTTTTTTTCACAAGCAGTATGTTTGTCCGCCGTGCGTCAAAGGGTTCGAGGAACTTCGCGGCATTCTTCCACGATCCCCGCGGAGAAATTATTCCAGCGGCCGAAGGTTCGCTGTGGGACACATTTAATTCAGCGGCGTGCTTTAACCAGGAAATTGCGGCGAACGACCTTATCATCCTGTTCTCTTCGCGACACGTAACAGTCGCAGAACTTTTTTCCTCGGTAAATCGGCCCGGAGATGATGGTATGGTGTGCTTGGCGAACCGTAAAAATCGCGAGGAACGTTTCACCTCCGTAATTCGAATCGCCTAATTGTTTACCCGTGATCAACGCGACCCAGTTCCACCATGAACGCCGGGGCACCGATCGATCTTATCGGGTCCATCGCTCGCCTGGGCTAGGAAAGCTCGAGTTTCAATGTTAAAACTGAAATATCAGTATACTGGACGTTAAAGACCGCGATGAAAGGGAGCAAGCCTAAGTTTTCTTCGCGAGTCGGACGAGGTTCATCGCGAAAACTCCGAGAATTCTTTGATATCCGTGGCTTTGTCTCCGGAAATGTCTTCCCAGAAAGTCAAATTCTCTCGTCAAAGGCATAAGGTAGTAGATCTAATTACTGTGGAGGAGCCAATTACTGTGGCTTCTGTTTATTTTCAAGCACAATTAACTTTATATTTATCGTATTCAATTTTCTGATATAAATTCAACGAATTATTTATTTGTGGATTTGAGGGAAGTTCTTAAAATACCATAAAAATATGGTTAAAAATGACATAACCTTGACATAACCTTGACATAACCTTGACATAAAAATTGTTTCGATCTTTCGATTGCGAATTCGCGGAATTTTCTGTCAAGCTTGCTTAAAAGCTTAACCCCTTGCCGTACTTTGACGAGTCCGACTCGTCATGAAAATTTCTAGTAATTACTAATTGAGTGTAAATGTTATTCTTTCTTTTAAAACTGGAATAAAATTCTAATCTCTTTTTATGAATATTTAAGCATTCAAGTAAATTTGGGCACACAATAAGCATCAATTTTCTTTCCTTTCTATGAAATGATTGCAATCGAAAAATTTCTAATCACAGTAACTACGAAGAAAATGGTATGTCAAGAGGTTAAGCAATGCCGAACGAATGAAGATCAATGATCAGTGAAATAAAACGTTATTTCCCCTTTCGCGGGAAAACGAAACAGTGATTGCTTATTTGAATTTTAGTTTTCAATTTCAATTTTAATAGTGTATTGTGAATCGTCTCCTCTTCTTCACTTTCCAGGTAATTCATGCGAAACTTCTGGCGAACTTTTGTTTTAAGCGATTCGCGTGAGACCGAACTCCCTAGACAACGCGCTGGAAAACTCGGCCGCTAAATAATGCACGGCATTGGAATTTCGCGAAACGAAATGAATCCGCGAGTACGCATACGTCATGCAAATTATATCGGGCTACGTTTCGAGTACTTTCGACGGGGGAGCGTCGAGCACTCGGAATAGTTTAGTTGGCTGGAGGATGTAAGCTTCATGCCCCATAAGCGATCCGCGAAAATTACGAATTAATTGATCTCGACGCTAATTAATACGCCAAATAGAATTTCATTCTCTGGTGTTTGTCTAAGTCGTGAAACGGAACAGAATTCTTAATTAGTTGAAAAGATCTCCTGTACTATAGGTCTGTATGCGTATTTCTCTCTCACTCTCTACATCTGCGGATTATTTTATACATCATGTTTTTTTAATTTTATGTTTTTGCATTTTATCCGAAATAACCCGTGTGACAGATGCATTATTATTATTACTTTCGCTCACTGCAACAAAGGGATTATCCCGTCGATAAATAAAGTTATTATTATTATTATTATTATTATTATTATTATTATTATTATTATTATTATTATTATTATTAATGAGTGGATTAGAAGCATAGTGGCGTATGTCATATTTTTTATCATTTTGACGTATGTCTTTAAATTTAATCTGTACGTGCGAAAATGTTAGAAAGACAAGTGAAATTAATTATAAAGATACTATCAGTTCTTCAAGTAAGGGTGTTAAAAAACACTTGATTCAGTATTTAATTTAATTTAATTCAATGTAATTTTTTTAATTCAATTTAATTTGATTTAATTCAATTTCATTTAATTTAATTCAATTTAATTCATTTAATTCAATTTAATTCATTTATACATGCGGGTAAGCATTGATTTATGCAATAACGGAACAAAGACATATCATTTAGACTGTCAGAGATTCAGCGAAATAAAATTTCAAAGTTACGAGGACAAAAAAGGCCGAAAAATTCTTTATTTTCACTCCGAACATTAAAATAATCCTGTCGCTTCGTAATTTTCACGCGAAAGAGCGAAACGACCGGAATAAATCCTGAACGACCGAATAAATAAATATCGATCGCAACGGGAACGATGAAAGACTTGGGTCAGACTTGTCGAGAGCGTTCGTAAGACCGCGCGTATCGTGAAATCGTAGCCGGACGATTTAATAACCTCGTGTACATTCAATCGACCGCGTCGCGGTGACCGTTCTTCCCACAATCGCGGTCCGTTAAAGCATCGACACCGGCTTCCGGTTCGATCGGTCGTCGATCGTTGCACTCTCGCATGCGGCCGTACGCGGGAGAAACGCGCCGGGAATATCGTACGACACGAGCCGGAAGAAGTTCCGCGGTCGAAACAGAGCCGCTTGCTGCGCTCCGATCGAAACGCCGTCGTTCACGGGTCGAAGGAGTTCGAGCACAAGACGAGGTGTTCGCCGACACCTGTTCGACCTGCCGGGAACGCCTGGGTGGTGTTTCGACACCTAGCTCGCTCGAAATAATTACCGGTCTCGACCAGAATCCGGGAAAGGAGTTGCTCCGCGCGGAAATCTCTCGCGTGTCGCAAGGGATTCCGTGGCTGTGATTTATGGCGGCTCGGTGATCGAGTGATCGGTTTTTAATTGTAGGGTACTTTTTTTAAGAGTTATTTTCACTATTAACACTGTGACTGTCATGTCATAATTTCTGAAATTTGGTACATTTCAATAAATATATTTAATCAAATTGAAATTGAAAAGTTAAACTGTGCGATGTCAATTAGTCTTTTCAATTTAATTTAATTTAATTTATTTTACATGTATAAGGTTATTTACATATTACATATTATTTATACACATTTGTGTAAATATGTATAAATACATCACTCTTAACACTGTGACTGTCATGTCATAATCTCTAAAATTTGGTACATTTCAATAAATATATTTAATCAAATTGAAATTGAAAAGTTAAGCTGTTCGATGCCAATTA